TGTGTGTGTACCGTCAAATCAGACCTGACTGGTACAGAAGGAGATTGTCCCTCCTTTCCCGGCAGAGTATCAGGTGGATTTGAACCATGCGCCTCTGGGAGTGCAGTGTAGCTTGCCACTAGGCCACCAGAGCTCCCCTAGAATCAAATTTCTTGAAATCAACATAAATTACAAAGCTGCAGTAAAGGAAACAGTATACATAAGTAAATGGAAAAGAACTGAGATTACAGAAATAAACCTTATCTACAGTCAAGTGGTTTTAATCAAGAGTTTTAAAAAAAAAAAATCAATGGAGAAAAATGGTCCTGGATCTCTAAACAAATGCAACAGAATGAAGTTGGGTCCCTGCCTCTTATCATCTGCAAAAGTTACTAAAAAATGGAATTGTTGGTGTTGTTAAGTGTCTCATTGAGTTGAACAGGACTTATAAGCAACCCTAAGGACAAAAGACCTATACCCTGTACTATAACTTTTGTTTTTCTCTACGCTCAGTTTCCTGAGGCATGTGATTTAGGTAGTGGATGCCTACTTCTAAACATGAATCAGTCTGGGAGCTCCACCAAACACTGTCCATGATGGGTAACCATTAATGGTGTTTGACACACCAGTGGCACAGCGTTCAGCATCACAGCAACCTCAAGTTACTTCAGTATAGCAAACTGACAGACCAGTACTGTACCACTTAGAAGAATGCTCATCCCAAACACAATTAACACCACAATTAACTAAATACAAGGCCCTCCCACCAGGTCTTGGCTGATTCTAAACCAAAAGGCTTCCAGCCTCATTGTTAGTTAAATCCAGCAAATCCAATCAGCTCACACCAAAATGTGAACCAAAAAAAAAAGGCAGCAGTTCACACTCGACCCTCACCAAGACAAGAGAAACCATCTTCCAGAATCCAATTGCCTCACATAGGAGATGGAATTGCCTATTAAACATTCTTAGAAAGGAGTTTTGGTGGCATAGGCCATAGCAGTGCCACACTGTTTAAAAATAAATCTTAAAATATGTATGTTTAAAGACTAATACACTGAGCAAATTTACAAAGGGTAAAATCATGATGGCCTTGGAATAGACAATGGATTCTTAGGCATAACAAAATAAGTAGAGAGCTCTGGTGGCTTTAGTGATAAGGGGCTGTGCTGCCAACCTAAAGGCAAGTTGTTCAAATTACCAGTTGCTCTGCAAGGGAAAAAGATGTGCAATCAACTTCACATGATTTACTGCTTCTAAAAACTCACTGGAGCAGCAGCTACGGGGCAGATCTCACTTGACAATACACAACAACAACAAAAGAAGCAAAAGAAAAAACAGGTAAACTGTACTTCATCAAAAAGACATGTACATTAAAGGACAATAACAAGAAACAGAAAACAAAAGAATAAGAGAAAGTATTCACCAGTGTATTACTTGATACAGGTTTAGAATATATAAAATCCTAAATCTAATTAAATCTAAATCTAACTCCTGCATCAAATTAAAAGCTAGGCAAAGAACTTAAGTAGGCATTTGTCCAAAGAAGATATACAAGTGGTGTCATGAGAAGATACTCAATTTCATTACTGTTATTTTGAAGTAAAAAACAACTCATTACAACACTTCAAAGATTAAATAGATCCTTCAAAAGAACTTGCCCCATACTGTACCATCCTTATGCTCAGTATTGTAGTCACTGTGTCAACCACGAATTGGACCCTACTGACAAGAGGCCCAAAGTTAGTGAGACAAAATTTCATATCCATACCTCTAAGGAGCACTCAGTTGCTCTTCCTCCAGGACATATTTGCTCATTCTTTTGAAATTCCATAGTATACTCAGTACTCTTCACTAACACTACAACTGAAAGGCATCAATTTCTCTCTGGTCATTCATATTCATTTTCCAACTTTCACAGGCATAGGAAGCAACTGAAAAAACCATGACTTGGATCAGGTACACCTTAATCCATAAATTAATGTCCTTGCTAATTTAGCACTTTAAGAGGTCTTTGGCAAAACATTTTCTCAATGTAACACATCTTATTTTCTTGACTGGAACTACTAAAGAGGGACTTAGAGAGTATTATACTAAGTGAACTAACTCAGTCCCGTATGGACTAATAATGTATAAGACCGTTATTATAGAAATATAAGGATAACTATTAAGCGGTAGAATCTTGCTTGCATGTGAAAATCAATGATATTGTTCTGTAGTTTCCACACTCTGTTGGCTCACCTTTCTTTGGAGACTAATGTGCGTCTGATACAGGCCATGGTCTTTGATATCACTAGTTATGCATCAGAGAGTTGGACAATGACTAGGGAGGATAGAAGGAGAATTGACGCCTTTGAGCTGTGGTACTGGAGAAGAGTATTGAATGTACCATGGACTGCCAAGAAAACAAACAGATTCATCCTAGAGAGGGTTAAACCAGGCTGCTCCTTGGAGGCAAGGATTCTGGGGCTTCGCCTGACATACTTTGGACATGTTGTAAGGAGAGACAGGTCCTTGGAGAAGGACATCATGCTGGGCAGAGTGGAGGGACAACGCAGGAGGGGAAGACCCTCAATGAGGTAGATTGATTCAGTGACTGGGGTAATCAGGATGGGTGTGTCAGAGGCAATGCGACTGGCACAGGATAGAGCAGGGTTTAGGACTGTTGTACACAGGGTCGCTATGAGTCGCAAACAACAACAATTTAAAGATCAGTACTATAAACCACCGATAGTGCCTATCTCAAGGCTTTGTACACAACACATAAAAGGCTGAGTAATTTATCTCTGACTAGTATTTCAGGGATTTCTAAGAACTAGCTTAATTGCCAGAAGCAAAAATTTGATGAAAAATACCAAAATACAAGGAATCCTAAACTAGAAACAAGATCTGTTCCTATCTTTTATGGATTTGCAGGTCAATCAGAACTGGATCCTAAAGGTTCTTAACCCTACTTTCACTCACTCACTGAAATAAAGTCAGAACTGAATCATAGCTGACTTTCCAGAGGGTTTTCAGAAGCTGGTCGGGTGATTTAGTAGGTAGCGGATTGCACTGCCAACACAAGGCATGTGACTCAAATCCATGGGTTGACCATTAGAAAAAGATGGATGGTCTCCTCCCATGTAATTTACTGCTTCTGAAAACCTGATGTTAGGTCATTTCCAACTTGATGGTACATAACAACAACAAAATCACACTAAAGGAGAGCTTGCCCATCTTTATTCCATAGTGCTGCTGGTGGATTTGAACCCCTAGATTATAGGCCTTTAACAGCACAACTCCCTATGGGCTAAGGCATTAGAGCTCTCTAGCCTTCTTTGGTGCACAATGCTTTTTAAAATTATTTAAAAGCTGCACATGTAGCAAGTTAGGGCTTGTTCGGATTGTGAGTTGTTTCAAAGCTTCAATGGGAGGGCAAATTTACATGGCATTAGAGAATAAGTACTAGCTGTCAAAAAGTTACATTTATAGCTTGGAGACGACCTGTATTTCAATCTTCAAAAAGAATGAAAAACAGCATGTTGGGGGGAAAACAAATAATTCCCACAGATTTTGAAAATCACAGCAAAAAGAATTAAACCACAAACTACATGAGAGCATTTTTGCTCTCTCAGAGAATTCTCATGTCAAATTACTGCCTCATTTCCAAACCTACAAATCTGTAGCTACAAATGTGTAAACAATACGGCAAATAAGCAAAGCACCACTAACTCTCAATCAATTTAGAAAGGGTGTTAACTGGACGAGTGCTTGTGCACATGCAAACACACATACACACCTTCCCTCCCCATCTGAATGTTCATAAATAAAAAGCTTTCCATAAAAAACAATTCTTCCACACCAAAAAAAAATAAACAAGTTTCATTAACAGAGTTTAAAATATTGTAATAGAGTTCTACTAATGAGATTTACCAGATTCCTAAAAGTCACCTGCCCGCGAGGGAAGGGTAATCCCTCCAAAACAAAACAAACCAGCTTGTCTTGACATAAAAGATGTGCAAAACAGATGAAAAAGTACTACTCATAACAAAATAAATGTTTCTATAATCCTTTTCTTCATCTTTTTTCATAATTTATAAACATAAAAGAGTTACCTCTGAAAACCAAAAGGGGCCCTGGTGATATAGTGGTTAAAGCACCTGGCTGCTAACTAAGTCAGTGGTTCAAATCAACCAGTCATGTAAATCTTCCATATGGATTTACAGCTTTGGAAACTCTAAGGATCAGTTGTACTCTTATCCTACACAGTCACTATGATTTGACAGCAGTGAATTTGCTTTTCTGGTATAAGGGAAAAAAAAATCTTACAAGTAAATAAATATAAGTAAAACAACTGACATGCTATAAGTCTTTACACACTTAAGTCTCAAATAATATGCACTTAAATAGGATTAAAAGAATTACTTACCATCCAAAGCAAAAAAATGCAAGATAAAGGCCCAAAAGGGTAGCAACTACATGTCGTACAAAAGAGCTAGTTTTGCTTGAATGTAGATAAGTTCGAAACCAAATGGCTGCTAGCAAAGCAAACAGTTGGCACACTACAAAGTTGACCTGTAAAGAAAAATTAAAATTTCATATTAGCAACACATACTTAAATTTTTTCTGTTATGCTACATTTATATTCTCAGAACAAACACCCCAACATTACATAAGATTTAGATCACTCAGTCTATAAAATCAGGGGCCTTTCCAGGGAAAAATGCCTGAAGTTCAAAGCAATAGTCAAACACATACTGTCTGTGGTACACTTGGCAGGGGACATATGATGCCCACTACTGTGATGCGAGGCATGGAAGAGCACCGAGAAGAACTGAGAATCACAGATTACCCTACTGATTTAAATTAAGGAGAAAATTCTTTAATTTAGTTAGATGATTCTGAAAGAAATCGCCATTGTCACCATCTCAGCATTTCTCCCCAAAATACCCTGGGATATGATCACAATCCCAGAGCATAGAGACTACAGGGAAGAGACTCCTGGTCAGACTCCCCTTTACTTCTTCCACCATTATCTCCTCACACGTGGCTAGCTACAGCATTCTGAAAGATGAATGAATTTGACTAAGATTTACAGTCCCTGAGGTCTCATGTCTTCTTGGATCTTGATTACACTATTGGCATTATATTAGCTCTGAGGTACATCAAAAATTTATCAGGCAAGTAAGTTAACACAGAAAGCGATTATAGTACTGATCTTTAAATTGTTGTTGTTTGCGACTCATAGCGACCCTGTGTACAACAGTCCTAAACCCTGCTCTGTCCTGTGCCAGTCACATTGCCTCTGACACACCCATCCCGATTACCCCAGTCACTGAATCAATCCACCTCATAGAGGGTCACAAAGCCAGGAGAGGAAAAGTGTCAATTCTTAAATTTCCTCATTATTGGCTAAGATAATCGGCACTGTTAACTTGTAAAAATGAAATCCATAACAGTTATACTATTGTTTTCTGTGAGAACATTTCTTGTGCATGAGCAAAATGAGAAAGTAAACATCTAAAAAGAATTAAAAGTAATAAAGAAAAAGAATAAAAACTCCTAAAACAAAAAAAGAACAGAAACTCCTTATGGAATAATGTCACTCTGAGTTTGAATGTACTGGCCAATAGTGGGTTTGGGTTTCAGGTTGGGTTTTGGTTTTTGGTTTAGGGTGTTTGCTTGTTGTTGTAAAAAGTCTCCAAATTTACTTTTATAAAATAGTTCTCTCATAGATTGTTAATAAAAATATGTTTTAAAATCTGTAAGAGAAAAATATGTATTTAAAAAAAAGTACATGTCAACAAATATAACTTATCAAGCACTTAAAATTACGAGCAAATTACACTATCTACATAAAGATGTTGCCATAGATTCAGAGAGATATCTCTGCCTAAAAACACAGACGACTATGTTCTTTTTCTTGCATTACAAAGAGAAAAACAAGTTGAACATTGTTGTACATTGTCTAAGAGACCATTGTTCATTAAAATGGCTAGACTCAATACAAATAAAACATCTTTCCAAAAGATTCTAAGCACTTTTTTCCCTTCTAAAAGGTTTTAACAGCCTTTCTATGAAGATCGTGCTTGAAAGTGAAGAAGGAAGCCCCTGCTCCTTCCAAAACTGAAGCCAAAGCAAGTCCGTTGAAGGCCAAGAAGGCAGTCTGGAAGGACATACAGTCAAAGAAACAGAAGAACCGCATGTCACCCACCTTCCGGTGGTCTAAGATGCTGAGACTCCGAAGGCAGCCAAAATACCCCCAGAAGGGTGCCCCCAGGAGAAACAAGCTTGGCCTTGACCCTTATTGCCATCATCAAGTTTGCCACAACCACTGAGTCAGCCATGAAGAAGACAAAAGATAACACACTTGTTGAATGTCTAGGTAAATTATATTTACAAGAGGAAATTAAAACTCAGTATTTAGGGATCATATCTAAAATCATGTACCTCAAGAATGAGACACATTTAGCCACTGTTGACAAGATAAATGCATAGGAGATAGAAAGAGGCATGAAAGTACAAAAGAAGTGAGTTACAGACCAAACTACAATAATTTTTGTTGCTTTTTTTTATTTTAATATTTTAAAGTTTACAGAAACCTTGGCTTTCCATTCATTCACTGTTGCACATTTTCCTCCCTACCTCCTCAGTTCACTTTTCTCTTTAAAAAGATTCTTTCATTGTTGCATAATTTCCACCACCACCCCCCCCGCCCCTACTTTTTTTACGCACTTCTTATTCTGGACTGTTGTCATGCATATATTATATTATATTATATTATATTATATTATATTATATTATATTATATTATATTATATTATATTATATATTATATTATATTAAAATACCTATATCATATATTTCTTTTAGATAGTTCTTTCCCTCGTCTATATAAATGCATCAGTCATTATTTATTCCCTCTTAGTTTCCCTCCAACCCTTTTGTCAATCCTGTTTTATAACAGTGGTATTATGCAGTATTTGTCCTTTGACTGAACTATTTCACCCAGCATAATGTCCTCCAGGGTCATGCATTTTGTATCATTTTAGTTCCTTGTTTCAGTGCTGTGTAGTATTCCATTGTGTGAATACACACACACACACACACCTTCTCTATCCATTCATTTGTTGAGGGGCACTTGTGTTGCTTCAATCTCTTTGCTATTGTGAACAAAGCAGCAATAAACATGGGTGTGCATGTATCTGTTTGAGTGGCAATTCTAGTTTCTTTAGGGTATAGTCCCAGTACTGCAATTGCTGGTCAAATGGTTTTTCTATTTCCAACTTTAAGAAAGCACCATACTTGCCTTCCACAGTGGCTGTACCATTTTTACACTCCCACCAGCAGTGAACAACTTCCAATTTCTCCACAACCTCACCAGCATTTGTTGTTAGAATAATTTTTAAAGAGCCATTGTTATGTGATGTGGAATCAGAACCAACTCATGGCTGATGCTCAGCGGGTTTTCAGAGGCTGTAAATTGCATAGAAGTAGGCCGCACATCCTCCTCCCATGGAGTATTTAGTGGATTCAAACCTAGTGCCTTTGGATTAGCAATGCAATGGTACCCAGTAGGCTACCTATACACACCAAAAAAACAAACCTCAAGTTGGGCACGAAACTCAAGCAAAACCTACTGCTGTCAAGTCAATTCCACCCTGATAGTGACCTTCTTCATCAGGTTTCCAAGAGTACAAACTCATTACCAGGTTGAAGTGGGGTGATGAGAACTGCCCATCTTTCTCCTAAGGAGCAGCTGACCTTTCAGTCACCAGTGCAGCACATTCTACACTACACTGCTAGAGCTTTTTTCATAAACAACTGCCCTAAGGAAATACAGGGGAAAGAGCACTCAATTCCACTGACTTAGGAGAAGCGCCAACAAGTGGCATCAGGATTTTGGTCCTTACAACTGGCCTTGGAAAAGAAGCAGGATAATGCATATCCTACAGGATACCCAGAAGAATTTTAGGCCATCTAACTTTTGTTGTTGTTGTTTTTAGGTATCACTACGTTCAACTATGACTCACAGAAACCCTATGGACAACAGATCTGAATCTTGCCCTATTCTGGTGCCATCCTTATGATTTGTGCCATGTTCAAATCCAGTGTTACAGACACTGTGTCAAATCCATCTGCTTGAGGATCTTCTCTTTTGTTGATCCTCCATCTTTCCCAACATGATGTCTTTTTTCCAAGAACTGGCCCCTACTGACAACACGCCCAAAGTCTACCATGCTTCCTTCTAAGGAATACTCTGGAAGTTGTCCAAGACAAATTTGTTCATTTGGCAGTCCATGGTATATTCAAAATTCTCTAACACCACAACTAATGATATCAATTCTTATTCAGTGTTCTTACTCACTGGCCGACTTCTGTTTCCTAGACATTTTCCTATTCATTTTTGTTCATTTTTTTATTGTCTTTTTTATATTTGACTTTTTTAAAGTTCTATATATTTGAAACTAATCTTATGCAAACAATTTCCTCTAGCCTGTAGTTTTGCCTCTTATTTTGTGTGTGGTATCTTTTCCAATTGAGATTTCCTTTTGTTTTTGTGCATTTCCACTTAATTTACATAAGCAATTGTATTATTTAAATATAGACAAATCTTTATGTATTTTATGAGTTTTTAAAAAATTCGTTCAAATATAAAATTCAGTGAGAAAAATCAAGAATTCTGTTCTTCCATTTCTGACACGTATCTATTTCCTACATAAACTAAGCACTTTAGAGCTCCTAGTGCTAACATTTTCCAATTCTGTGCAATAAATTTTATTACATTTCATAAAACCTAAGTTATTGTCAAAATACTTACATAAAAATAAAATAAGTATTTTCTCCTTTTTAAAGTAAACAGGTAGTACGAAAAAATAGGGATCTAAACCTCTTGAAGTAGATTTCTGGGGCTATCAAAATTTATATCAAACAGAAACTTATCATTTGAGTAATTTTCTGTACAAAACCATTTGTCCAATGTGACAGTCAGTAGTCGCGTATGGTTACTAGTCAGTTAAGTGTTGACAATACAAACTTGAGATGTGTTTTAAGTGTAAAGCCCATATTAGCATTTAAAGAAACAGTGTGTGTGTGGGGGGGGGAGAAATGTGTAAAATATTGACAAATTACATTGATTTGCATAATATTAAGTATGTTGTTAGAATTTGTGGCTCGCAGTATACTTATATTGACTACTAGTATATTTAATACTGGTATCTAATATATTTTAAAAT